TATCCCTACTATATATTATACGCAGTTATTCTGTCTGTCTGTCGTCTCTGTCACGAAATTCGGTATCAAGCGAACAACAACCTACAGGGTCCAGGTCAAGTTTGGGATGGGTATACCATATCCCTAGAAGTAAAAAACACACATCAGCCAAGCGGAGCCCCGCCCACAGTGGGCGTGGCGTGCATCGGTTGATTCCAAATACAGTCAAAAACAGCCTCGAGACTGGAACAAAAAGTGGTTATAAATGTGCGTCGGTAAGCCAGATTGCATTGGGGAGACCCACCCTCGGTGGGCGGGGCGTTCTCTGGAAAAGCGGTGCTCAATAAAAATATCAATAACTAGGTTAGGAGGAAGCCTACAGAGCAGAAAAGAAATTAGTGCAGGGCAGCGATGTCTAAGGTATTTCCAGCACACATGATGTGAACGGAGGTCCGCCCACAATGGGCGGAGCGTGTCCTGAAGTAGACGACGTTTTCTACAAGAGCTCATAAATCGGCTCTGAGATGACTTGGAAACCTGAAAACAGTGGATACAGGTTAGGAGAAGAGGAGAAGCTAAATGTCAAGGCTGGGCGTAGCTTACACCAAAGTGGGCGGAGTTTGCAACCAGCCTCATAACTCGGTTCCTATGAGTCCCGGGGTGTGGGGAAAAAAGCGTATAAGTGTTGGCAGAGGGAAGGGGGTCAAGTGCTGTGGGCAGGTGGAGCATGCATTAAAGTGGGCGGAGTTTGCCACGGTACTTCATAACTCGGATCCAATAAGTTCCGGAGATGGGAAAATAGTAGAATGAGGTTGGGGAAGAGATGATAGTCATTTGGTATCGGTGAGCGAGGCATGTAACGAAGTGGGCGGGGTTTACCACAACGATACGTTGCTCGATTTCGTCCCCTACAAGACCTCATAATTCGGCTCCGAGATGACTTAGAGACCTGAAAAAAATACGCCAGAGGTGAAAGTAGGAGTAGAGGTTGAATGTGAACGCTGGGCGTGGCACACCCGGATGTGGGCGGAGTTTGCCACCGCTCTCATAACTCGGTTCCTAGAAGTTCCGGCGACCGGGGAAAATGTGCATAAGTATTGAGGTATGGAGTAGGGTTGAATGCCATTGTTGGGCTAACCATGCACCAAAGTGGGCGGGGTCTGCCTCAGAAATTCGTGACTCATAACGCCGTATTTGCCATGTATCAAAAACTTCACAGTGCCAGTGGTTTCGTTACGATTGGGTGAAATCAGTTAACTGTTATCCAGTTAGAGGTGAAACCACGAGATGAGGGAATACCTACGTGTTCCATGAAGGCGAGAATTATACTTTGCCTAGAAATCATTAACTGAATGAAGCTTTGCCACTTTTGTCGATGAGTTTGCCAGAGATTGGGCACTCTTCTCCAATCGACTTTGTTTAAAAGAAGGGGATCAAGCCGGTGCAGGGCTTAGAAAACATAGTTTGATTCGTCAGTCGGCGTAAGTAAGATGTACCGAGCAGAAAGCTAAAATCAAGACAAAAATACTGATGGGCCCGATTTTACCGCTGCAGCCCCGTCTCATGCACGCGAATGCGTGCGCAGCCAAACTGGTAATTCTATAAGGACGTTTTGCTCGTCTTGCTACCAATTTACTTTTTGACATCCTCGTATTAAAACACAAATGGGTGTACGCTTGGCCTCCGGAAAAGGTGCACTTTTCTAGAAGAGAGTAGAGGACGGAAAATAAGTTGGCTCTCACAAGTGACCTCATTGTCAGTGCTTCTAATCATTCCGTAGGTGGAGCTCAGAGGAACTGATTATGAGTGCAAAGAAATCGAGGACAGTGCTGAATTTAAGGGAACATCACGCTAGCTTGAGAGAAACTTCTAATTTCGACCGTGTGCACGTCTGGTGAAGTTTCATGATAGTTGGAGTGAAGTGAACCATTGAATTCTCGATTGTGCACATCCGTTCTGAATGTTAATAGTGGGTGATCAATTCGGTGTCAAAACAGGAGAAAAAACTGAAAAAGTGGTTTCTTCCAATTTTGAGTTCACCATTATCTTATGCAAGGCTTAACAACTGATATTTAGGCCACTTCACACGAGGCTAAATAGAGACAAACACATGGGGAATGTTCATCTGAAAGGATCTTGCAGACTGGTGCATAACAACATGCTGGACTACCTCGGACATTATGTGAATGCGTATGAAGGTGCACATATTCTCAATATGTTTGATATCCGTACAGGGGCGTTGCATGGCCTTTGAAATTGAAAGTCCATGCGAGCTAGAGGGCAATATTGAAAGAGGGCATTGTGGTCCTAATCCGATTGCCGTCTTTTACAGGATCACCCAAATTCTCGCTTACGTGGCTTGTCGACCTGGCACATGACAACACCAAACTGTTATATCGTAGCGACTACGACCTGTACGACTTTTATCTCAAGAACAGAGATGCGGTGTGATCTTCTAAATTCGGTTTTTAGGAATTTAATTGATTAATTTGTGTTTTTAGTTGAACAACTCGTTTATATTCTTCTTCGGTGATCATGGACCGCGATTCGGATCGGTGAGGAAGTTTGCGTATTAACTCGAAGGCATGCCCCAGGATCACATTGGTGTGGCTCTTGCACACGAATGCGAATGTATTGGTGCGAAAGTGGGCCGGCAGTAAAGAAAAAAGGAAAAGAATCCGTCGAAAACGCTTAGGTTAAGGGCTCACTCACCTTCCTAATCGGCTGTGCTAAGGGAATGAGAGACTAAGCGCGGAGAGGAGAGTATGAGGCGAGAGAGGAGAGAGCGCCAGACAACAGCCTGATAAGAGAAAAAAATCTGCAGCTTCAGCAGCTTACTTTGCAAGGCCCAAGCGCTCTTGTCGGTTGGTTTCCGTGCACGGGAACGCCACATTTGTGATTGTCCTCTAGGGGTCTATACTACAGACCGAAGGGAAGCGTTCACACGACCTCTGCCTGGGTTGTGCCCTTGGTTCTCAAAGGAGGGCTCTAATTATGACAGCGCATTTGTGCCGATGTAACTGCGAAAGCTTGCTTTCAACCAGAGTAGAGCTTATTAGAGGGAAAAGTTTTGAGAAGTAAGTCGGGCGCACTGTAGTCATGAACGGGTATCCTCCCGCTTTCATTCCTTTCCCTATCCTTGTTGATGGAAAGTGCGCTACTCAGATAGAGACCTATTCAATTTTCAAGTAATGAACATGAGCACATTGCCGCTACTTAAAGTCACTGATTACGACAAATTGAGTCTACACTTGGAAGCGAGTATACGCGCATGCGCGCAGTAATGAGGCGGAAATGAGACGAGGTATGGAGTTTCTGCTGTGAAAATGCGCAAGTTGCAAGGTATCCACGTTGATTTCTAGAGGGCTGCCTGTCGGTGGGAAATGTAACAAGTCGATTGGCGAAACTGCGAGGGTGCGGAAGTATGCGCGTTCTGCACAGGAGTATGAAGCGGCCTAGCGAGGCCATACCCTCGCCGCGGCACCCCCATCCTCTTGCGATCGACTCTGGTCGTTCAGCAGAGAGAGCGTTGGCTTGAAGAGGGCAGTACCAATGGGAGTCGCAGAAATCAACGGGTGAAAATGGCTCTCACTTCTCACTCTTCTTCTGAGGTGTTTCGCATGAGTCTTCTCCATTCCGGCACCATAGGCCACCTCCACCTTGACTTCCCATAAACCACCTTTTTATAGCAAACTCCGCCTTTAAGCCTGACGGCCATTTCGCTCTGCTCCAAATTTTGTTATTGTTGTTTGCGCTATCGCTGCCATTATTGTTCACTTTTATTTCGAGAGAATATTTTGTTACAAACAGCCATACTTTGCTTTGTTGTGTCTCGTCTTCCACAGAGGTACTGAAACCCTAGCAGCCAGCATCACCCCATCCGAATTGTAAACCGTCCAAAATCAGCGGGTACAGTGAGAGTACCAAAGTGCGGCTTCTTGACGGTTGGCTTTATATTCTTCTTCGCTATCGTACCATTTTGTGAAGCGTGGGCCGAAATTATGAGGACAGAATGTGCGCACGGTAATAATCACATTTTTCCGTCTCTCTCCATTCCCATCTCCCTTTCTGTGCTCTATGTGATAGTGTGCAATGTTTCCTTTCCATTGAGACCAAATATCATATAGTTCCAAATTAATGACATAGCTACATATATACAGGGGGGGGGGCAAAAAAATGAGTCACTCTGACTCACATTCAAAACAGAATTAATTTTGCCGCGCGAACCGAACAAATGACGACCCTCCCAATTGCCCATACCTGAAAAGCACATTCGTCTTGTATCCAGAAAAGATGCAGGCATAAGAGCTTTCTCCACACGCACGCACATTTCAGGACCATACTCCCCACGAAACATGGTTTAGCGGTGGTCCGCCAGCCCCTCAACGCAGCCCGTCGTCAAAACCATAGACGATTTACGGTGTGATCACGTCCTCGCTCAAACACACATGCCCCCCGTTCAACATCGTGCCTTTTACGATATTCAGGTAACTATGTGTCCTGCACAATTTCACCAATTACCGCCAGCGTGAAGAACTTAGCGTAGCAGCGTTCAGAATGAGGCAATAACGCCGTAGGCCTTCCTTTGAGTCGCACGATTGATGCAGATGACGTCATATTCTGGAGACGGTGAAAGCGAGGGCGAAGGGGTGGGCCTGATTCTGCTTATGGGGGGACATCTAAGGGAATAATTCGCCATATAACTCCCAATAACAGCGGCATCCTTTGCGATGAAAAGTTTCGATGATATGCGCCATGGGCAAAGTGACTCTTTTTTTGGCCCCCCCCCTGTATATCGCGGTACATTAGCCCTCAAATTGAATTCTGTAGAGGTTCTGGCACGCTACTATTTTTAATACATTTATCACCAGGACAATTATGAGACGCGAAAACCCACTCTCCCCTGGTCGTCTTTCGCACCTCAAAATGAGAAAGTCATGTAAAATCCAGCGAGTGATTCAAAAGCAGCTCACTGCAGTTCGTGAATAAAAAAAATCAATACACTTCACGAACTCCACAGGGACAGCAGCACCCGATATAAACCAGAGAAATTCTGCAACGGAAGCGGTTTCTCGTGCTCATGCGTTCGGAAAAATTACGTGGCGTTCGCCTGAGTTGCTGTAGATTTCCACGATACACCCTGAGGCATTCCCCACGACCCCAACGAATGAAAACCCCACGAAACTCCGATCTCCTGAAGAAGACAAAGCAGACAGCCTGAAAACTTTTGGCACGCCTTGGTTGTCTGCCATCACACGCGCCACTCCCCTTCATCTGAAGGCTCATGTAAATGCAGCTGGCAGATCACAATCCTATTCTGGATTCACTTTGAGATAAGAGTTACAAACACTCCCCAAAGTTTCTTTCTTTCTTTCTTCTTTTCTTTCCATCGGCTACTCTTCGTTCTTGACGGCATAATGCCTTCCCTGTCCTCCATTTATTTTGGTCCAATCCTCTACATTCATCTTGCCTGTTTGCGAGCCTACTCAATTGACCGCCACATATTTTAGGTGCCTTCAAGCAGAAAACACCTGTCCCCAGCCATGAATTGTCTGAAGTTACATGAATTGTTGCATCTAATGAATTTTTGCATCAAGCTCTATATTTTTCTTGTTTATAGGAAGCTTCTACTAAATTCGGTACCCGCGAACAGAACAACCCCTTCCTGTATGTAGTACTACCAAAGCACTTGAGGCGTACACAACTTCATCAACAGATGTTGGAGAACAGCCAAGAACTTGTCACTCATCACGATCTGCACTCCACCCTCGAGGATATTCTCTATGTGAGGTCTTCAGTATTTTCCATTCTATAAAACACCCTCATAATTTACACTGTTTATATTGAAAATGTGCTGGTTCAAACCGTGTGCGCTTACTTTGCTGCTTTAGACATGCGTAGGAGCCTTTAGCACAACGTATTTTTAACATCAGTACTAATGAATATGGAGACCGTGCAGAGCGATATGAAAGTCATTGCTTTTAGAACCAGCCCTCTGAGGAATTTCTCTGATTTTTCATTCAAACGCTTCAACAGTGATCCTCGTGGCTCGTCCTTGTTTCGACAGTTCGAGAGAGGCGTTGAGCGGACATGCAAAACACTACCGATACCGTTCCAGTACTGTATATGCCAGTATAAGATGACGAATCTCACGTGAGTTCTGCTAGATTATAGGCATGCCCAGGACCACGTTGGGGGGGGGGGGTCAAGAGCACTCGAAGGTGGAGGTAGGAGTGGGAATAGGCCCGCTTTATTTTTAGGAAAACATGAGGGTAGCCATATTGGTTCTGCAATGTGGATGAATGAGTGTTGGGCAGCAAGATGAGAGCGCGTTGTGGATAAAACGAAATCCTCCGAGCAGAGGGAGTGTACAGATCGGCGAGGCGATGCAAATGATTCGTTGGGCGGATCGACCAACGCAGTGGACGCTGCAGCGTTTGATGCCGATTGACGGCGTTCCCAGAACTCTTCTGCCATGGCGGCGCCTCGCCTCGCATCGTGACAGGCACTGCTAGTTCTCTCTTAATTCGCATCATTTTGCTCACCCCATCTTGAGTGTTCCTTCAAAGAGGAGCCTGTGTGGTGTGAGCACAAGACACAGCGCTGAGAAGTGTTTCCGTTTTTGTTTATTACCACGTCTCTCTTTTGGTGAAGTGGAGCTTCTGTAACAGGACAAAACCGTCGCATTCGGCCGATTTCAATAAGTTTACGATTGCCTTTCCCAAAGTGGTCACGATACGACTCCTTGTTACTGATACAAATGCAGCTATACAGAATCGCGATGTACCGCCACTCCCACTGGGACATAAGATCGCGTTTCATGCTGTAGAGCACATCAGGTTTCTTTCTTGCTGACGGCGAGTAAGAGAGCCGCGTGAATTAACGCTATTCAAACGGGCACGACCTCCAAAAAATTTAGCACTGATGTTGCAGACTGACTTGGGTTCTCGAAGCCGAATATGCACACGAGACAGACAGTTATGGTCCATGGGTGACATGCCCCGAAATCGCTACGGACGTCAATGTGCGAATGACTCGGCTCACCGGAATAGTGAAGCAGCCGATCTCTTTCGAATTCTTTTTGACACTGCACCGACAAGGTGTTGAAACAGGAAAGCATTTTTCAATGAACCGAATGCAGAAAGTACTCAAAATCGTCGCTCGCGCTAAGTTTTGATTTGGCGGCCCCTTCCGCAAGAGTGACCGATCAGTTCACGAGGTTCTCAAGACTATTATCGCTACAATATTTGACTCGGCTCGACTGATGCGACTCTTGATATCTGGAATCCGGAGCTCGTAAACAGCTCGGAAATGCGAACTGGTGCTCTTGAAATGGTCCGAGACGAACGTCAAAGCACTTGCTTGTGTGCCACAATGGATACCTTCTGGGCTTCTGTGTTGAGTCATTTGCGCGCACTCCTTTATTTTTCTCCTTCCTCCAATTTCCATTTTCGGAACAGCATTTTTTGAGGGGATGTGGAACCTGTTGAGTTGGTGCTCGCCTTCGTCGGTTTTATGGGAGTGTTCATCCCGGAGGCGCAGGGTGAACCTTCGGGTTGTTCAAGGAATGAGTCCTAACAAATTGTCAATATTCTCTATTACAGGGATGAGAAGCTGGCACGCAGCCTTGGAGTTTTCGCTGCACAAGGTCTGGCAGCAATTTTAGACTCTGAGAAAGTTTCTTCCAAATGCGAGAAGATCGCGATGGACAAGGTGAGAAGCTTTTCCCTTTCTTTTTCTTTTTCTTGATCAAGCATACCGGTTCTATTCAGGTCGAGGTTCAAAAATACGTGCTACCCCACAAGAATGCTACTCAACCC